CAATATTTATCTGAGTGAACTTGCAGAGGGAGAATGTATTACAGAGTTAAACCACTTTCATCACACACAGAAAATTACTGTACACTTTTTGTGAGACTTTCAAACCTAGTGTTTTGCACCTGGAATGATTTTAGGTTGCCGTAGCTGTGGGGTTGAATGCTTATGTAATTGAGTATCTTTTAATGTTTTTAAAAAATCTAATTTAGATACTCTAAGGACTTTTTAACAGTTTACAGCATTGGCCAATTATTTATTGTTTATGAATCAAGCACCTTTTTAAAACCAAGTCTTCAGTCTTCAATAGTCATCAATGTATTGTGGGACATGCTGTAACAGAGGCTTAGAAAGCAAAATTAAATTAAATCTGCATAAAAATGAATGGTAATTATTATTATGGTTATTTTCCATGTCTATTCCACTGTGTGTACTTGCCATCTTTTGACTTTTGAGCAATTATAAAATGGTAATACAAGGATATTCATTCTAGTATTACAGTACTCAACCCCAGTTGATCCTATGTGATTAAGATCACGTTTTACTAAGGGAACATTAATGAGCTATTATGAGTTACTGTTAATAGCTCATAAGTAGCTATCTATAAAGAGTGATCAACTTTCTTCAAATAAGATTTAATAAGAAGTGTTTTATTCATAAATGACAAACTACTAAGGCACTACTGAGACAGTTATTAAATTATTTGGTTGATACCTTTATCCAAAGTGACCTATATTTATGCAGCCGAGTATCTCACTGAAGCAAATCAAGCAAAAGACTACTTCAAAGGCACAACAGCAGTGCCCAGCCATGATTTTGAAACGCTTGTGTTCTTATAATGAGCCCAAAACACTAACTACTACTTTGGATTCTTACCAACATTAAATACAGCAGGTCTGAAATAACAAAATAGTACAGAATTGGTAATTAAGAGTTCAAAAATATAAAATGCAATTATATCCTTAAAACACATAACTTTTTCCACAGCAAAAAGCTAGAATAACAGTTTCCTGCTATTGCATTATCACTTACTGTACTATGAACCATTTCAGTTAATTTGAGATTTTTTACTTAATATGATTATGTGACAGGCCTCCCTCTCTTCAGGTGGGTCATGAAGCCTGATCACATAGATAAACCATGATGGAAAAACAAATGCAGTCCAAAGGTTAATTTTTCATAAAGCTCCTCATGGTTCAAACAAAAGGACTACCAAACAGCCAAACACGAAGGCTCAATGGGAATCCCTTTATATACAGTACCACACCTAGGCTAAATGACACCCATGTGAGAATGTCATTCTCATCCTTCACCAATAAGACAATTACCTAATTCACTACATGTGAATCTATCTTCATATACAGTACTAGAGGCCAGACCAACCTTTGCTCATACAACAATTTAGGAGGAATGATACAGTATATACTTTGCTGCCTTGCAATACTAGGGCCCTGGATTCAATTCCTCTGGTACTGACTGCGTGCATGGAGTTAGTATGTTCTCCACGTGTTCGTATGGGTTTGCTACAAGTTCTCCAGTTTGCCTTCCACAGTCCAAATGATATACTGGTAGATTCATTTGTTTACTTAAAATTGGCCATGATGTGAGTGTGTGCATGTCTGTGTCTATGTGTGCCCTGCAATGGACTGACATTTTGTCATACTTGCTGGGTTGGGTTCTGGCACCCCTGCAACACTGTATTAGATAAATTGGTTATCAAATAAATGGATGGACAACATAACAATGAAGACATGTTGCGTCTAGTCATGGGATCTCTGGCTGTTCGCATGGCTATTTTTTTCTTCCACTGAGCGCAGTGTATTCTTTCAGTAGAAGGAGGAGGCTATGGGGAAAGGTGGCCTTAAGTGGCACTTATTTTTTCTTTTTTATTTCCCTTTCCTTTTGTTTTATTGTTCATTACCCATTCTCTTATTGAGCTTGAGGGAGAAATGCTTTCTGGACAATGCCAGGAGGCAAATTGTATAGTCATTTATAAATTGTAATAGGGTCATGTAGACATTCTATTTCAATACCAGTGTAGTTGTCTCTTTTCTATTATCATATGTACAGTACTATAATGTGTTTATATGACATTTTTATACAAACCAGGCTGGGGTCTGTTCAGTTAAATGGAACGAACAATCAAACAGTAACTGAGCGATTGGTTTTCTTTGCAGTTTTTATCCAAAATAAAATCAAACAAAGGAATTCACTCAGTAAAACTTTCTTCAATGCTACAGTCCACATAGAGTGTAGATGCATTTGTGTTTGAATATAGAGGTGTTGGCATTTCATGATCCAAATTATGTCCAAAAAAGAATACATCAGTTGTGCTACAGTGTATGTTTTGAAGAAAATTAGCTAACTCTGCCCCAGGACTTGTTTTGCAGTAGAAGTCTATGCTTGCAAAAGAACAGTTCCAGAAATGCAATGTATTGCAGTATTCTACCTCAAGGTTAATTTACATTAATCCAGATAAATCCACTCATAGGCAAAGAGCACATAATACTACTTTCATTAAACTATAAGCTTAAAGAAACATTTTTTATTTCTTTTCACACTTTGCTTCCCCCCCCAAATACCCTGCTTTAAGTGTGCCTTTCCAGAGAAATCAATCAGAATTTTATTTTTTTCTTCAGCTTGTTTATGGAGTTGTTGCTCCCTTATTTTTGTCTAAGATCTAAATAGATAGACCTATGAGTAATGTCTAAACACAGGTGGGAACAACTCTCTCAAACTTTCCAACAATCTGCAGTTCTACATTGGTCTAAGTACTTGCACTTGCAATATCTAATGTCTCCATGAACATATTGTGTATTCCAGCCCGGGTTTTGTCACCAACTCTATGTACAGTAGCTGGAATTTCCGAAGCAGTAATGCACAATAAATTCAGCGCGACCGGGGGTAGAGTTGGAATTACTCAGTGTGACGTCCTAAGCGACAATAGTTTTGCAGTGTGGCAAGTAAAGAACACACTTCATCTCCTCCTCCAGGATCAGTGCTGAGAGTTACTGCATTAAATAACATGTGAGCAACCTGTAACAAAAACCTCGATAAAAGGTCTGTGATTGTCATTAAAAGAAACGTGGTAAACAAGTATTCAACAGTTCCAGCATGCAACTTACAGTACAAATGTGTGTGTACCTCAGTGATTTCTAGTGCAAAATGGAGAAGCCTTCAGCTAGAACTGTGTTATGATTTGTATTTTTGTATGGTAGCTGAAGGTTTTTTCTTTCTTGAAACTCGATATTTGTTTGCATTTTTTTTCCCAAAAGCAATCAGATTTTGTAATTGGTGCAATCAGTACTATGCTAATTCTACATGTCTATTGGGATCACTTTATGCAGGCAATCAAAGATGTAGTAATAAACACCACTGTTCACTCAGCAGATACATACAACAAGAGCATTTGTTCCCAGGATCTCCAAGTGTGCTGTAATTAACCCCATTTTACAGTGTGCAAGTTTGTTTGCATTTATGAATGACCTAAAATAACAACTTTTACACATTGTAAAATCAAAGGAAATGAAAAAAATAACATCTCTCTTCATAATTTCATGTGTGTTTTCTCTTGGATATCACCAATGAAAACATTGTTTAGAACGCTGTTTAGCACATTCTTTTTCATAAAAAGAATGGTTGTAAAGATATGTCCACAGTGTGACTCCATCTTAGCATCAGGTGATATATTATCAAACAAAATAATGTATTTCTCTGAGTTCTATTAATTCCCAATGTAATAATGGAGATAAGTCTGACTATACCCACTAGTTCTTCAAGTCATTTAGTTTCAATTGACTCAAAACCAGAAGAGAAAATATGAATGTAGAACATCTGTGGATTTCAAGTATAAATATATTAATCACAGCCTTTGCTGTTGATAGACATTTTGTACGATTGCATTGTCTTCATAATACAGTTCCTTCTTGCAACTGCTTACTTACTAAGCTACAACCTACCTCCTGCATAAATGTAGATAAGTAAAATAGTTCCATTTCATCTCAAATTCTATGGAAAACAAATTCATTCGGAACCATACCTGCTCAGGGACTTTCTCTACCTTTTCTGAAATTACACTCCACCCTGCAAAGGGCTGTCCTTGATCTCCTTCTGTTCTCGACCATGAAACCTTCCATTTGCTGTAGGAAGGAGATTCAACATGTTCGAGAATATTAAACATCAGGATAAATACTTAATATCATATTAAATGTCCGGATAAATCATTTGGAATTCATTTAATTTAGAATTATTTCAAAAATTCAACAAGAACAACAGCAATAATAATAATAGAATCAGAAAACATAGCATTGTATTCTAAATGTTGATGTGCACAGTGGTACTTTGGTCTTCTATTCAGATCTAAAGCTGCAGCACTGGAAAAAAATAGTATTTTCTTTCTTCCCTTGTCCCAGGTGAATAAAACCATGTCTTTCTGCTTCACAGTGTTGCCATGGTAACAAATAGCTGCAGCCTCTGAGCACATAGGTAAATAAATGGATAAATCAACATTGTTATAAGATCAATGGATGATGCCCAGAACATTTTAAAGTATTTTCATGTTATTCAGTGTTTCTGTGAAGAGCTTATGGTTACATAAACATAATTAGATTAAGCCTTAAAATTCTTCAGAAAAAATAAATGAAGCCAGGACTCTGCAGAACACCATCCGTTTCATTCTTTGTTAAAAACATATTCTTTGATTTAGGGATTAGAGAAGACATTCAGTCCCATATCACCATAAAATACTTTCAGGTTTCATAATGTATTATAGGTTATCCATGTATATCCTGTGTGTGAGTCAAACTTGTGATATACAGTATATCCAACATTCAGAGTATGTATTCTGTATGAAGTGTAACTCAGATTTAATAATCTCTTTTACCAAGGATGGGGCACTGTCTATAGATTATTATAATGACAATAACTGTGTGCCTTAGCTCAGTTTACTGTCAATAGTGTGTAAACAAAACATTTAAAAAATTAAAAAGTACAGCACTTCATTTTGCAGGGAATAAAAAAGATAACCAAATGGTTTTTATTTCATGTTGATACATTCTTGGACAATACCACGGTATACTTGCATGAGTGGCAAAACTTAAATGTCTTCCACAATATTGGCACGTAAGCAGCAAGGGCAACATAAATATACTTAGTACAAACAGTATAAAACATACATGCTTTTTTAATAAGTCCTTTTCACAATTTTTCATAGTTGCGGGGCAATAAGAAACTCCAAGACAAATTAAAGCCATATTCCCCCTTTGTAAAAACATCCGAGAAATAATACATAAGAAGAAAATAAGGATCAAAAAGCTATCCAGAGCAGGCTGATATTACAGCCTTGTGGTAAGTTCTTTTTTAAACATCAAAAATATCAGGCATGCACTAGCGACTTCTACGTGAACACCTCATTACATCTGTAATACCATCGATCACTGTAGTTAATCTAAAGCCAGTCAGACAAGGACTAGAGTTTTCTGATACTCACTCAAAACACAGTCGATGGTCAACGTACTCCAACAGTTTTTCAAACACAACTGTACAGAACAAATAGCTACAGAAGGAGAGAAAAAAATTAGAATGTGCATTACCAGGGGTTTAAATGGGGAAGCCCAAACCAAAGAAAGAAAAACAGGTAAAGAAATATACCGACACCTGTGAGAGAAGAATATGGCTTTAATCATGTGAGCATTGAAGAAGCAAAAAAAAAAGTGAAAGTCCATACAACGAAGAATTACAAGTATGCAAAAAAAAACTCACAAACCTTACAAGAATTTTGGAAAACTTGCAGTTTGGAAGTACATGTAAAGACAAAAACAGCCCCTCTGTTGTCCCTCTTGCTGTGATGCACCTTAAGATCACTAAGTGGGTAGAGAAACTATTTATGTGAGAAACAGAGAAGGCCCGAGCCTGAAGCATCCTTGTAGTGCCAGTGGGTCTCCTCGTTAATCCAAGAGGTTTTATTTTAGTCTGTTTTTGTTGATTTAAATATATATATTCTTTCTTTTTTTAAAACAAGGAAAGTTGTCTTTTTTTTTGTTACGAAACCGTCAAAATGTTTTCTTCCTCCACCATGGTAGTCCACCAATTTCATCTGGCCAATATCACTCCTCTCGTGGGCAGGCAGTACTGTGCGGGACAGGAAATAGCCTTTTGCCAAGGTGGCAGGAGACCAAGTATCCTCCCAGGTCACACCCTTCCCTTGCTGGGACCCTTTAGATGACAAGGTCATTGTAGCTGACATACTTTTTCTTTGCAGCAGGACCTTGGAAAAAAAAACAATATAAAAGACAGTGAGATTGCCAAGACATTAGATAATGAGTCATGTTAAGGTATAGAACGTCTGTCAAATTACTCATACTTTTTCCAGTACTTTTCTGAGTTGCATATTTGCCCTGTATACAGTATTTTCAAGATAACTATAGATGCTATAGAATGGTAAAAGCACAGATCTGAATTTCAGTTCATTCAAAAATTTCATTTCTGAGTGTCTCAGACTCAGTTTATGAATGATTGTTTTACCAATTTGTTTCCATGTCGCTAAGGGACTCAAGTGTCCCAAATGGAATTATACTTTGCTTTAGAAATATTTGAGTTTAGGCTATACATGAGTTACAGTACATGCAGTACTAATGGCATCTGTAGCTACAGTACAGCACATGAAATTAAGATTTGTGAAATTGCTACTGTATGTGCACTTTTACTCTGAAGCTGAATGTAGGATGATACAAAATATCCTACTATACCAAAGAACACAATAAAGATAAAGATACATTTATAAAATGAAAAAATAGTATTAGTCATGAAAAAGAAAACTGTTTGCATTTTATAAGACCATGTTATTTAGTTGACCTTATTGCAAAGAAATATTATACAGTACCTGTACATATTTTGTTTTTGAACGATAGGACATTTGTAAACAGTATCGCTCCACTTCTTTGTTGAAGGTTATCAAGAATGATCAAAAGAACATCTCCTTTTACCATCACAAGCATACATTCTCATACAAAGAAATACTGCAGCACCTAGTAGTTTTGAACAGCAAGTATAAGAAATAATGCTGTAAGATTTAACCCAGAGATCTGTGGTACCCACTCAAGTAGCTGAACAAGAGTCAACTTGTTCTAAAAGCTGAACTTTTAGAAGAGGGGAGCAAAATTCACTGAATCTACAGAAAAATGGTGTAGAACTACTGTAGGCACAAGCCACAGAAAAGATGTAAACGGTCAACTATCAAATGCTTATCAGTGCAGTCTCTCTCAGCAATATTTTGATTTTTTTCTGTTTTTTCTTCCATTTAGTTAAATGGAAATGACATACCCGCAGATGAATCACGGATCTACAGTATATGAAACCACAAACCTTAGATTAATCTCTGGTTATTGGGTAAATTACAGTATGTCCCACATTTTTTTCTGGAACAAATCAAACAATGTGACACAGAATGGGTTAAAGTGATTGAAATACTTGAGGTCTGTTTGGAAGGTTTTTCAAATCAAAGTTAGGTAATATTGATCTACTGTAGCTGCATACATTTCAATGCATAGAACCTCCCGGTGAACTAAAGCTGTGAGTTTAGGGGATTGACATATCCCATATCTCTTCTTTGTATGCTTTAATAGCAATGCGGTTGAACAAAAATGTTTTATCTAGATTACAGGACTCACACATATCCCTCTTATCTAAACATGATAATAGCTTCTCACTTGCAATGCCTGAAGGAAAAACACTGTTGATCCTTCACATGAAAAAAATACACAACACAATGATATGATGGAATTCAGTTTCTAACTAGTAATTTTTAAGGACCTTCCACAGATAGAATAAGCCCCAAACTGGGATTTATTTAATTCAAGAAGGTTTACAAGTATCATTGTGCTCTAGTCAGCATTCTCTGAGTCTTTCAGCAGAACGTCTGCTACTAAATAGGGCAATGCAGACGATAGCAGAAATGACAGTAAGGGCCAAAGATCACTTAATGTTAGGTATAATGATAGATTAAAAAAAGGATCATCACAACATTTACAACTTTCTGAAACTAAACAAGCAGCATTCAGTGTAGCTGAATGTGTAGCATACATGCAGTTATTTTGCATCCTATGTAGAAGAAAAATATGTTAATGAGAAGAGCTACAATAGACTTATGTTAATATTTTGTGAGAAATTGATTGATTGTGTTTTTTGACAGTATTCTGAATAAAGTGCAGTAGTGATTTGTTATTAGCCTTATCTGAATAACCTATTACACTACTTTAGCCTGTGTGCTGTTGAGCAGAAACACATGAGTATTAGGGCCATGTTTTATGTCTCAGCCTGTCTCAATGGGATCACAGCCTGAGCAATGAACGAAAATACATATTTCTCTTCCCTTAGCTAATTAAAATGCAGCTGTTATTCTAAAGAACAAAAATGTAATTTAAACCAGGATACCTGACTTTAATATTCATAATTATGATCTCAGTGATCTGGGGACACCATAAATACCATAGTTGTTTATAATTAGAAATAGGAATTCATTTCAATAAAGTATTAAGCACAAGTGACATTGAGAGATGCCAGCAACTGCAGGATGCATAATAATTATAACAGTTTCATTATTGAAGGGGTGGCATGGCTTCACTAGGCTTACACATTTTTGATGTCCTCAGTCTGAACTATTTCAGCCTTCCGTTTTCGAGTTCAAGTTACTACCCACTCCTCCACAATGCTGACCATATTACAAGACGAATTAAAAAACACAGGTAGTATCAGCATTTAAGCACATGAAATGGAAAGGCTGTTTTGACCCAAAATATCTTTGCAGACTCTTTTCCTTCCTCTTACTGCAATTTCCAGTTTCAAGTTTGGGGCACAGCATTTTACCACCTTTTCAATGTTTTCTACCTGTGTCTGTGTAAGATGTAAAATACTGCACTCTCAAAAGTTCTGTAAAAATGTCTCAATTGTGTTACAATTGCCTGAGATCTTAAATATTTAAATATTCGATAAGCCTATCCCATTTTTCCAACTTAGGCACAAAGATAAGTCTCCAAAATCTTTGCAAAATTATTAGTAAAAACTAATGCACTAATATCATTATGCATGATTTGTATGTCTCCTGTTACTACTGTACTAACTAATCCTGTAGTCCATCAGGCCTTAACTGTTTTACTAATATCTACTGAGTAGCAACAAAGTTTTTGAAACTGGAACTTTTACATATTTACAACATCACAAATTGTACTTTAGTTTAAGCAAGGAAAAAAATGTACAGAGAACATTAAAATATCACTTTCCCTAAATTTCACTTCTGTCCTAAAACACAGCCATGCCATCAAACATCCTCTATGTTTTCTATACTAACCCTAACCCTAGCTAAGGGTTTGGGTAGTTAGGGTTAGGGTTCAGATTTTCTTCAATGCAACTTAACACTCATTTAAGCAAAAAATATAACCAAGAGCATCATAATATTAGTCTGAAAGCCCTTACCAGCCTTCCCACACCAAACAAAATGTATCAATTGCGGTACAATTTTCATTTTTGACAAGAATTCAGTTATTGGAACTTTTGTGTTGAATCGTACTCTCCATTTGCATGGTATGAGTGTTAAATAGGTTAAGAGCCCGGAAAACCCAATACTGTAAATTGGAGCTACAACTGTTAAAATACCAGTGCATTCAATGTCAAATGCAAGAGATTAAGACTTTTAACCACTTTCTTTCAAACTCTTGCTTTTCAGGGATTTAGACAACATCCCCATTTAGGGCAATGCAGTATAAAGAGCCATACAATACAGTAGAACTCAACTAAAACAACTGAGGATATGAAAACCCACTTAGAAATTACAATTTTAAATGTTTGTTCTTTTAAATGTTCACATACTGTAGGTACAGTACAAGTCTGTATACACTTAAAATACAGCATTTCATTTAGCAGTTGGAACTGTCCTGGAAGGTCACAGGCAATGTGGCAAAGATATTTTAAATTTCTTTCCCTTTTCACTAACTTTCTTTAAGGTAATTTCAGCAAAATACCTGTGCAAATTGAGCCTTCCCTGCACACAAGGAAAAAACATATAATGCTGCCATGAAGCTTAAATTAAACATGAATTGCTTACCATCCTCCCTCAAATATATTCCACAAAGGTAGAGGACGGAAGACCCACAGTAGCCAGATTGTAATCAAATGATCAAATACCCATTACCACACACTCTAACAGTAACTGACCAGCAGCATTACAGAACACAGTGCTTTAGAATCGTCTTACTCCTCAACTGAGTTTGTACTCATATACAATTTAAGCCTAAGCATACCCTCTCTGCTGAAAGTTTATATCAGTCAAATTCTAAAATTTCTCAGGAAAGCCTTTGAACTTACTGTAATCAATTAAAACAGGTTTGCTTTAGCCTGGGCTGACTGACTTTGGTGTGTTTCATTTTCCTTTAGCTTCACAGGAAACCCACTTTGCAGTCTCTAGCCTCTGAGATTGCATCAGCAAGAAAAACAGAAATGATTGATGCTTCACAGATGATCTTCAGCATTTCCAGAGCAGACAGGAAAGTAAAAAAGTTAATGAAGAAAGAAATTGAAAAGTAGCTGTATCTTTTTCTTCTGTTCTGTGCTTTAAATGCCCTGAAATTCACTGGAACCAGAAAAAAACAGATTCAAAAAGGAGCAATTAATTAATAATATGATTTATTATTATTGGGTTGATTGATGCTTTTATCTAAGCTATTTATATTTGTAATCATTTGTATATGTGGGCATTTTATCTGAACAAAATACAGTACCATTTTGAAGGATCCAAAAACAATGCTTGCCAAAGCTTGCCAAAGATACAGTATAAACCGCGAGTCTCTATTTCTGAGTTCAGAACCCACTCCTACAGAATGCTGACTATGTACAATACAAGACTTACTGAAACACAGGTAGTCTCAGCACTTGCACATGCTTTGACCTAAAATATATTTACAGACTATCTCCTAATACATGCGTCATATTTTTTTACAGTTTTCTGAAGTGGAGTGTCTGCTATTCTGAAAAGAATCATTAAAACGAGTGATTTAAAATCCTTAAAGTAAATGTCACTGTGTGAAGGGACCATTAGTAATTTATTTGTTATGTGTTTTATATCTTAGCGATAAATGTCACTAAAAGGGTAGGAAAATGTTATACTAAACAATCTAAGATATTCTGTATTCAATAATATTTATTTTCTACAAAAAAAGCCATTACCATACATTTTCTAGCACTGAAATAGTGGAATGTTAATTAAAGGTTGTGATA